TACGTACACGAGAGGAAAACTTGTTGTTAGATCGAGGGTTAAATTTCTTGTTCATTTTTATGAGTCTAGAGATTCTTCTAGAGAGATGAGCCACTTCTCTAGAAAAATCGACTTCACTATCCGATGACGAAGATGAGTTGTCACTAGCTCCTTTGAGAGCTATGGTCTTCAACTTTGGTGACGGCTCCTCAACTTCACGTGATGGCACTTCCGCTCCTCAACTTCACGTGATGGCACCTCCTCCTTCTCCTTCCCCTTGAGCTTCTTCTCATGCACTTTGAGCTTTCCGATGAGGCTATCAAGAGCTAAGGTAATGAGGTCATGAGCTTCCTCAATGGCCGTAGCCTTGGGCTCCCATGCCGGAGTCAATGAGCGAAGTATCTTGTAGTTCATCTCTTGAATGGATAATTGCTTATCTAGACCATGTAATTCATTGATGATATTAGTAAAACGGGAAAACATAGCATCAATGGATTCATTAGGAAGCATTTTAAATAGCTCATAATCATGCATAAGTCCACTAATCTTATATTCCTTAACTTGGGGGGTTCCTTCATGTGTGACACATAATTTTACCCAAATTTCGTATGCGGTTGCACACGTGGAAACTCTATTGTATTCATTGGGGAAAAGACCACAAATCAAGGCCTTCATGGCCTTAGCATTGAGATTGGCTAGGTGCCTTTCATCATCGGTCATGTTCCCGACCTTGGACTTCTCTACATATTTCTTTTCTATGAGCTCTAGGATGTCGAGGTCAATGCAACGAAGGTAAATTTTCATCCTAGCCTTCCAATAAGCAAAATTGCTCCCGGTGAAGAGTGGTGGTCTAGTGGTGGATTGTCCTTCCAACATATGCATATTCAAAGAGGCCTCCATTAGATCTTTTCTCTAAGGTGGTTAAACCAAAAACTAATATAGAGACCAAGCTCTGATACCAATTGTTGGACCCTAGAGGGGGGGTGATTAGGGTCAAGAGGCTCTAATATGCAATTTAAAACTCAGCACAAGCAAACCACAAAACAGAAGTGCAATCAAATAGAAAGAGATAGAGTTAGGAATCGTTATCCTTGACGCGCGATGTGTTAACGAGGTTCGGCCCTCTGGCCTACGTCCCCGCTCCCCACTCTCGAGGAGAAATCCACTACACACCCGGTTTGGAAGCCGGAACTTCGTCTACACAGCGATCCCACACGATCTCTCACTACACAGTTTGATCTCAACAGATCACACTCCCTCACAGTTAATCTACACAAGATCTCACTCACACAGCAGAAGAAAAGATGCAAGACTCTCTCTTTACACAGCCCCTATGGCAAAGAGAAGAATTACTGAAGCTTGGAAGTGAACTCACACAAAAACTATAGAGAAAACAGAATTGAAAATTATCTCAGGAAGACAGCAGTCTCTCTGGTTTTTGCAAACGTTAGGGCAACTAGAGGAAGAAGAAGTCTAGGGTTTAAATAGAAGAGATAAATCAATTTAAAAACAAAACCCAATCTTCCCAATTAAGAAAATAATCTCCTTTTCAGACCCTTACCTCAGACTGTGCCAAACACGGTTAAGTGAAAGCACAGCATTCCAGGCAAATGACCATTTGAAAAAAGTCGCGGCTGACCGAAGGAAATTTCGGTCGACCGTCAGAACGTTCGGTCGACCGAAAAAGTAAATTCGGTCGACCGATGACCGAAGGAAATTTCGGTCGACCGTCAGAACGTTCGGTCGACCGAAAAAGTAAATTCGGTCGACCGACCGAAAATCCGGTCGACCGCGATCAGCTTTGAAAAATTAGAAAACAAACAGAACCATCATCGGTCGACCGGCGCGGTCGACCGATATAAAAATCGAGATTTTAGTCGACCGCACCGGTCGACCGACGACCTCTCTGGAAAATACTGACGAATGATCATAGGTGCGGTCGACCGCATAGGTCCGGTCGACCGCATTCTGATACATTGCAGAAACTTGATTTTGACTAACTTAAAATATTTGCAAAATATTTGTTTGACCTCTGAAAATTATGAAACTTTGTAAAATGTTTTTAATACTAAAAACAAACTGTTTGGAAAAAGAATTTGGAGATAGGTCCTCATACTTGTGAAAAATAGTATTTTGTAAAAAAACGCTTAAAAACATAAGTATGAAGACGTGTGTGTGATTCCCAATAGCTTCAAGTAAAATCAGTAACTCTTTGCCTACATTCTAGCACTAGAGAGAAAATAGAAAACAAGCTAATATCCTCACATAGAATATAGTTCTTGAATCTTGATATAGCTTTAAGTTTGATGAAGCTTCTTTATGAATTTGTTGTTCTTGAATTAACTTTGCTTCATCATTATGCCTCCTCCTCCTTTGGATATCATCGTTGTAGCGTATATTCCATCCAATCCTCCATAAATGGCACTAACAAGCTTGATTAATGGATTTTCTACATTTGCACTTAATAAGCCATTAGTACCGTTAATGGTGGTTGTAAACATCATCAAAACATAAGGGCTAACAATACATCCCCAAATGGTAAGATTCTTTGGGTCCATCCCGATCTGATTGGAGATGAACAGTGGACCGGATCCTCATCCAAGAAGAAATCAAAGGAGAAAGGGAAGTCTTGTTGTGGAGCCGCAGCCATTCTAGAAGAAGATAACGAAGGAATTCCTGCTTTCTCACTCTCTGAAGATGAACAAGAAGTCTTTGTAACCAATGGATAACCAGCTTTTGCTACCCGGAGTGGGAATGAATACCATTTCAAATACCCGGATGCCTCCAATCAATTAGCCGAGCAGGGCGTGACCAAAAGTGTCCCCTCTAAAATATTAGCTGAAATGGGAGTGGCCATAACTCCTCCCGTTGTTGTTGAGAAGACTCAACAAAAGCAAAAGGGGAAGGAGCCCTTATACCAAGAGGTTCAGAACCCGAGGCAGTCTCGATTCAATCAACCGATTGGAAGAGATAAACCGGGGAGCTCGAACACTCCTCATCGCTTCGATATTATAGCATAATTAGCTAATATACAGGCCAAATTAACCTTATATGAGCTGTTGAGTCTCTCAAAAGATACAAGAGAAGCACTACAAGAAGCCTTGGCTAATTCTGACGTTTTCTTGACTCAGATCAAGCCATCTCCTGAGGAACCAGAGCCGTTAATCCAACATTGCAATCTCACGGCACACAACTTTCCATGTATTTCTTTCACCAAGGAGGACATGCGGACAAAGAATTCAAAGCATGATCGGCCCTTGTATTTCACCGGGCACATTGGTACCAGCGTTGTCAACCGGATCCTAGTCGATCCGGGTTCTGTTGTTAGCATCATGCCATTCCGATTGATGTATAATCTCAGAATACCGGCTAGCACGTTAGCCTCCACGGGCACTATAATCTATGGATTCAATACCAGTGGGTCCAAACCATTGGATAAAATCAGAGTAAAGTGCCAGATTGGAGATCTTAAGTCGGAAGTCACATGTTACGTGATCGACGCAGAGACTTCCTATAACTTACTGTTGGTTCGACCGTGGATCCACGATAATATTATAGTCCTTTCTACCCTCCATCAATATCTTAAATATGTAGACACTAATAATAAAGTCAAGACGGTGGTCACAGATAAGCAACCATTTAAGGGATTGGAAAATTATTTTACCGACTCCCTTCTCTGCGGTGTCAAATCCAATACTGAATCATCAGCCCAAGGTACAAACAGTGGGGAAAAAGCTGATACTGAAGCTGGGTTTGATTACGATGGTGGTTTTATACTTAATGACATTGTACCCAATGTATTCAATCTTGACGATGAAGAGTCATGGGATAGTAGTTGTAACTGGTAACTTACCGAAGAAGTAGCAATAAATAATAGTTTAGAGTACTCGTTGTGTCTTGATAACGTTATGAAGGGGTTATACAATGACCTAACTTGTATATGCCACTTCAATCATATTGCATGATGAAGAAGCATGTTCCGGATTCGTTCAGAACGACACTTATCGTCCCTGCAAAGACGGAGGGTGAAAAAGAAGTCATTTATGGTAAAGAGAAGGAGTTTTCAGTACCAGATTACTTCTTGAGAGAAGATGGCGATAATGATAAACATGCCCCTCATTTATTCAGATATGACACAAAAGCACGTAATCTCATGGAGAGATATGGATATGACTTCACAATCGGAGAGGGTCTTTGTTTTGGTCGAGGACCACGAGTTCCACCTCGTATGGCTTATGTACCAAAAGGAAAACCCGATAATTATTATAGCTACAGAAGAGGTTTAGGCTATGTCTCCTTGTCCGATAACGAGTGCTGCTAGCAGGTCATTGATCAAATAGCTAATAAGGGTAAAGACGGATATTCTTCTGATTCTTCAGCCTGGGATTCCGACGCTAGTCTTGGGGAAATGTTCAAAAGACTAATGTCGAACATGGCTACGATCGATTCCATCACACACTACTGCATAGTGGACTATTGGCGACGAACAAATCCGTCGCCAAAAGTCAAAAATCCGTCGCTAATAGTTTTAGCGACGGAAAATTAAGAACTCCATCGCTAAAACTCCGTCACTATTACGAGGATAGGTAAATCACTTTTTAGCGACGGATTTCCCGTCGCTAATTATCAGCGACGGCTTTATAGCGACAGAATAGCCGTCGTTAATGTTTGATTTTTGGCGACGGTAATATTCGTCGCTATACATTTTAGCGACGGAATATCCGTCGCCAAAAGCATGTATCAGTTCATGTGTACCGTATCAGTTCTCCGTCGCCATAAGTCTTTTTAGCGACGAAAAATCCGTCGCTAAAAGTCAGCAGAATTTTTTTAAAAACTTTTTTTGAAAATTAAAAATCCCTGTACAATATATTTCACAATAAAACATGTACAATAAATTTACACAGCACAATCACATATAACACATATTTCATTCTCACGCATATATAACACACATTTTACTAAAAACATAATAAATATCCCAACATTATAAATGTTATTTATACAGCACACCCATTGTTTTTAATGTTAAAAAAATAAAATCAGTCCCGATCATCATCATCCTCATCACCAGCTCCACCTTGTCGAGAAGTCCCAGCCTAAAAATATAAATAAAACGTTATAGAACAATACATACATCATCAAAAACTGAATTTTGCAGTAAAGTAACAAATTATAAAACAACATGGCATGACATGCAAGTATAGCAATAATAGAGTATCATGGCATATTCTTACATGTTATATGATTCGGAGAGAGTATCATGGCATATTTTTATGTATTATACGCAAGCACGCACATGTTTTTAACAACGCACGCACACACCCTAACCCCACCCGCACACACGCACGCACGCGTACCTATCTCCACCAACACGCACACACGCATGCACGAGTACCCAGCTCAACCCAATCCCCACACTTCCCCCTCCCCCACCACGACCAAACCCAACATCAAGCACGCACATAACGACCACGACAACACAACACATGCAACACCACAACACAACAATAACAACACCTTCACCACAACCACAACAATCCCCCAACCCCACCCACCAACCAACCAAACTCCTACCACAACCACCACGACGAAAACACCCACCAACCAATAACATAACCAACGACCCTACGTACGAACGCACCACAAGAAAACAAAAAAACAACCAACTAACCAACTCACTAACCAATACAACCATCGCTACACACGCACGCACCATCAACACCACCATCACATAAAAACATTAAGTATATAATTTTGGTTTTGTGTTTCGGAGAGAGTTATAGTTTGTGTGTAACAGTTTGTATCAGTGTGCATCGGTGTGTGTGTGTGTGATATCATTTAGTCGCATGGCATACTCATAACTAAGTAAGAATTTTATATTTAATTCATTTAATTAAAAAATAAAAATATATATATTACCTGATCCGCCATAAACCGTCTCCTATATGCCTCCTGAGCATCAAAAGGCAGAGTCGATATGAACTGGGCGAATTCCTGCTCCCTCTGCTCCCGGCGCCTCCGTTCTTCCTCCGCCATCTGGAGTAGCTCGTACTCCCGATGCGACTGCCAATCTTCCATCGCTTTCATCCGCTGCTCCATAGTCGGGTCTTGAGAAGAACTACATCCCGGTTGTGCTGCAGACTCGTAGGTGCTACTGGACTCGTACGGCCGATGCTCGGATCCTCTCCACCAGTATCTGTTCTTCCTACTCGGTCCAATGACCGTCTCGATGATGCTATCCTCCTCCTCTCTACTTAATCGGGTCGGAGTGTTAGAATCGACCTGAGTCTGTGATAATTGCTCCTGCACCTTAGCATGTAATTTCTCCTGTGATATACCAAAACAACCCGATCAATTTTAACACATTTAAAATGCATTGTTATAAAAATTAAATATACAAATGAACTGCTACTTACAGCCAGATCCTGGTTCTGCGCTTTCTTCTCTTCATCGGCGTAATTTGGGCTCCATGAAGTCAGAATACGATCTGCAAAATGCTCGAGATCTCCCCTTCCCTATTTTATTCAAATATATCATTAACTCATAACACATAAATTATACTCAAATTGATAACCTAAGAGCTAATATATTATATACCTCAAGTGCTAATTGATGATAATGCTGACTGAAGGACCTGGAGCCCCCGTGATGCTCGTAACTGCGGGGCGTATTACGGTTCCTCCTTGCTGTTTCAGCTTGGCCCTGCAAAACAATGTTAAACAGATATAATATAGAATTTTAAACAATAAACAAAAATATATACTTTAATAATACCTGAATTTCGGCCGTGTCCCAATAATCGCAAAGTGCAAAACAATCCTGTACGCGTATCCGCCAACAATCCTGTACGCGTATGTGACAAGTAAATAAAGAGATTATATATAGTATTTATTGGACGGGGTATTCTACGGCTCGAAAATATGAGTGTACAGTGTGTGCAATTTCTAATTAGCGATATAATAGTTACGATAACCCTTCACAGTCACCTCACCCTCATTGTAACCATCACCCTCACCTAACCCTAACCCTCACCCTCACCATCACCTCCACAGGACAGATGCAATAAGCCCCCTCTCACATACGCGTACAAAAAAGTTATCGGACCGAACAAGATGGTCTCGTATCCTCCAACGATCCTGTACGCGTATGTGACAAGTAAATAAAGAGATTATATATAGTATTTATTGGACGGGGTATTCTATGGCTCGAAAATATGAGTGTACGGTGTGTGTAGTTTCTGAGTAATTAACGATATAATAGTTACGCTAACCCCTTATCCTCACCCTCACCC